TGAATTAGGGCTTTGCTTCGCTGTTAGGTAGGGCATATCTGAAGACATGGGAAGTCAGGGAGCTGAGATGACCTGAGAGATCATTTAGCCATGTCCACAGCAAACACTCATACCTGTGAGCCCCCGCCAAAGCAAGTATAACAGCCCTGCAGTAGGAGTTGTAGGTAAATGAATTTAGTAATACGAGACATGTTAATATCCAACATCATTACAGACCTTTTGCTTCTTAGACAAATATATGACAACATGAAATCCTGAGTGAGAGGAAAGCCTTACTAGCATGGAGCAGGATCTCACCTTGACACAGAGTTCAGATGTGTACACATGGCCAGGGAGTTGTCTACCCCAATCTATGGAACATCACTAGAAATGCAATCAATGCAGAAACCCGATTTACCAAAACTCTTCCCAAGAAATGTTGTACAATTAAAACATGTTTTTGCTTACATACCCCCTAAAATTTTGGGGTACTATGTGCCCTCCCACACAATTTTATGTTGACATATAAAATCTACACTATAAATTAAGTAATTGTAAAAATGTATTTGCTAGCTTACTGTAAATATTGCATGTTTCCATACTACAAATACTAAAAACAAACTATTAGGTCACTCTTTTAAAGATGTCCAAGAAATTCTATGAAATACCATAGGGATGTGACACCCACCATTACCTATTTAAAAAGCAGGTGAATATAATTAATAGTAACAATTTCATGTTTTTCCTTTTTCTCCTCTTTGAAATCCTATTTCCTTACCATTTTTCCCAAAGAATTTTATCCCAATATTTTTTTTTGCTTGAAAGTATCAATTACTATCACACTTTACTTCACTAATATACTCATAAATGGAAATTTTAAAAGTTTAAAAAATTTCCCATGGTGCTAAGTCTCACCATAAGTGTTTAAAATTTTCTTCTGGACCAATTGGTCATTATAGTTATGAATGCTGCATAAATGATAAAAATTACATAAATATAATATACATACTGATAAGGAATTATTGGACCTAAGTTCCCAGATACATTTTGGAAATGCATCTTTTAAAGAGATGGATTTGGTTTTGGCAGTCAGGAGATTAGGGTGCCTTAATGGAACACAGTTTAGACCCTGACACCTCCATGTTGTAAGGCTCTCTCTCAGCTGTGAGGCTTTCACCCTGGGGTCAAGGCACAGGGTAGGGTGCCTACCTTCTGCTAAGCAAGGGAGGACAACTGTAGGCAGACAGGCTGTATGGCCCAGGACAGACAGGAGGGACGACAGGGCACCCGGGCCTCCTACAACATTTTAGGAAAGAAGATGCATATAAGTTGGGGATCTGAACATTGAGGCCCTTATAATTGTCTGGACCCAAAGGCTCCTCACAAGTTTAAGGAACTTGGCTATAGGGAGGGGCTGTGCTCTGCCCCTCACCCCTATGGTTTCAGCCTCTCCTTTAAATGGGGACTCAACAAGTACTTTGAAATACCAAGTGGGGCGCCAAATTCAGGTTGGTCTGCCCTCTGCCTTGGTCTCACCCTGACCTCACCTAAGGACAAATCTCACTTTGCCTCACATCGCCTCTAGGTTTCCACATTCAATTCATGCCCTCAAACTTCGTGTGTAAAATACATATTATATGAAAATAAGTTTACTCCAAAAATTTCACCTTATGCTTACATTTATTTTCTAAGGAAAAAAAACCCCAAAGCATATGAATGTCTGTAAAAAGAACAAGGAAGGAGGAGGAAGGGTGTGTGAGGACGCGCTTAGGTACGTCTGAGAATGGCATTGGGGGATTTCAGGAACTATTCAAACCACTGACACGAAGGAGGACTTTATTCCTCATTTACTTACATGAGTGTTTTAAATGCAGAAAGCATACAGATAACAAACGGCAAATCACCCCCCTTCCAAAGAATTCCTGTTGCCCTTAAACAAGTAGTACATGGTCAGAAAATTCAAGCTGTATATGAAAAGAGTTATCTTAATTTTTTTTTAAAGATTTTATTTATTTGAGAGAGAGAGAGAGCACAGCAGGGGTAGGGGAAGAGGGAGAAGGAGAAGCAGGCTTCCCGCTGAGCAGGGAGCCCAATGCAGGGCTTGATCCCAGGACCCTGGGATCATGACCTGAGCCGAAGGCAGGCTCTTACCGACTGAGCCACCCAGGCGCCCTGAGATAGCTTAATTTTTCCTCAAAGGCAGCTACTGTACTGGGTTTCCCAGAAGCCCTTCTAGGAAAAATGCATGTGTTTGAATTCGCCCATTTCTCATCCCTTCCTTCCCTTCTTCAAAATTTAACTCAAACTTGCTCTGTATCTTGTTTTCTCCATTTGCTAAAACAGCAAATACACGCTCATGCATGTAACACACGCACGCACATGCCCACAACACACACCCCAGCACAGAGATCTTTTTAAAAAAGCGGGTTCACCGAATGTTCTCGTGTGGAACCATTATCATACTATAATTGTTTTAAACTGTCTCCTACTGAGTTTAGTTGTGTCTGGGTTCTTGCTAATAGAAATGCTTCAACAATGGTATTTTGATCCACTTTGCAGATATAACTGTTACCCTAGCAAGAGTCATTTGGTTGGAGGGTGGTCTAAATTTTGGATTCAATTGCATTCTAGAAAGGCTGAGCCAATTTACACTTCTGTCAAGTACAGAGAAGTGTCCATTTCCCCACACCGGGCGAGAACAGGTCGTCAACCAGCATTTGCCAACAGTGAGTAAAATGTCGTGTTTCACTGTTGCTTGAACTTAAGTTTCTTTAATTGTGAGTGAGGTTGAGCACCTCTTCCTATGTTATGCTTTGATTACTGGGTTGTCTTTTTTAATGGATTTATCAAAATGCTGCCTGAATTAAAGATATTGACCATTTCTCAAAAGTTGCTAGGATTTCCCCAGTTTGTCCAGTTTAACTTTTGAGGTTTTTGGTCATCTAGAAGCTTTAAATTGCCATACTTTTTATATCTCTTACCTGTCTGAATATTGCAGGAGGGTGGTGGCAAGAGATATGTAAGGTACGAGGTAAAATAAAATGTAATAATTTTCCTAACCAATTGTTTGTCATCAGACCATGTAACAAACAATCCTTCTTCTTCCCCACTACCACAGAATGTTAATTTTACCATAAACTAAAGTCCCCGTTTTATTTGGGTCCATTTACAGGCTCTCTGCTCTATTCCACTGATCTATTTCTTCCCTAATTCAAAATGGATTTATTTTTTTTCTTTAAAGATTTTATTTATTTGACAGAGAGACAGTGAGAGAGGGAACACAAGCAGGGGGAGTGGGAGAGGGAGAAGCAGGCTTCCCGCTGAGCAGGGAGCCCAACGTGGGACTCAATCCCAGGACCCTGGGATCATGACCTGAGCTGAAGGCAGACACTTAACAACTGACCCACCCAGGCACCCCTCAAAATGGATTTAATTACTGTAACTACTGTATTATTCAGAATACATTTCAATATCTGGCAGAGCTAAAGTTCTCATTTTTCTTCTTTTTCAGAAATCTCCTTGCTATTCTCAAATGCTTATTTCTATATATTTGAATTGGTATCATTTTCACAAGACTGGATCTTTTGGTCCCAGCAGAGTTTTAAAAATACTCTTCATATAGATTACCCATATTGTTTTTATAAATTACTAAAGGTTTTCTATTTTGGCTTCTTTGGTAAATGGGAACTTTTCTTCAATAATATTTTCAAATGGCTATTATGTCTTATGAAAGGAATAAATAATTTTAGATAAGCCTTGTAACCTACCTCCTTACCAGGTTTTCCTATTGTGTCTGATAACATATCTTGTGATTTTTAGATTTAATAACCTTCTAATCCTCAATGAGTGACACATTTGCCTCCTGCAGGTTACTTGACCTTCTCACTTCTTCCTCCTGTAGAAGTGCATTGGTCAGCAGCCCTGGCACCATGGGAAGTACCAGTGGTGGTAATGGGTTTCCTGACACTGCTGTGAGTGCTTCTGGTGGCTACTGTGGAGCATGGTGCTTGTGCTTTGATTTAAGATACAAACACATGGACTAGGTGAACTTGCCCCACACCTCAGAAACCGAAATGCAGTCATCTAGCCTTCTCCCCCACTGCGCCCTGCTGGTGGACCCACACTTCTTCTTCTCTGTACTCTTATCACAAGTCTTATCCTGGGGACACCCTGCCTAATCAGGGGCACATTCTGCTCCAGTGTGGGGCCTCCCATCTAGTGTACTATCCTGGAGCCCTTGCTTCTATCAGAGGGTCAGCTTGGCGGGGGGTGGGGGGGCCCTCCTTGCAATTATTTTCCTTCCAGCTCCCCAAACATCAAAGGAAATATTCTTGTACATGGTGGTTTTGAAGCCTAATGGACTGTGAGGGTCAGAACCCGGTCCTGGACCCACAGCTTGTCCCCTCAGATGATAACTGCCTTACTAATTTTCTCATTGGTTTAATTCTTATCTCTCACTAGAGAGAACTAGCTTTGGGCATGGAGGAGTCTTTGTCTTCCTGCTCGCACTCTGCTATAAGTAGAAGGTCAAAATGAAGACCTCCAGCATGGTCACTAGTATAATGTGGAAATCCCTGGAAAGAAGTTTCTACTTTCATGGCATTTTTGCTGCTTTTGCCCACACTTTCTCGTTCTCCCTCATTCTCTACAAGATATTATGCAAGATTCTATTTGCTCACTTCTCCTTGCTTAATGTTTCTGTAGAAGGCAGGCTTAGAAAACATGGGGGCTGCTCCAGGATGATTCTTGGAAATCCTGGTCTTGTTCTTCTGCTGACTGTTAGCTCTACTCTTTAACATTGCTCAAATATTTTTGTTTTGCTTAGTTTAGTTCTTTCAGTCTATCCGTTGATCATATTATTAGGATTTTGGTTTTGTTATGCCATCCTAAACTGAGCCTTCTGTATTTATTTACGCTAGTAACTTCAAGGCTGAAGGAAATACTCAGAGTGAGTTCTCTAAATTATGGCCCCTGGCATTTGCTAAAGACAAAACACTGATTTTCAGGACAGTTGCTCTTACCTGCCGCTTGAGTGCCTCCAAAGACTCAAACTCCAATCTGGCCAGTTTCATCTGGATATGCTGTGGTTTATCAGGTATGGCAAATGCAAGTATAAACTTTAAAGCCAGGAGTGCATGCTAAAAACAAGAAAGAGTACATGTTGATGTGCCACATTAGGCCACATGTGCAATGAGACAAAACGGAACCTAAGCAATCTGTGATTCTTCTCGTTAGTCTTGGGTAATTTCTAATGACTGGCCTGTCATAGATCAGAGATCAACCAGGCCCAAGAGTTCTATTTAACCCACCCCACTGTGGGCCACTCAATAACTGTTGTCTTACTTGCTTTATTCTTCTAAAATTAGTTTATTTCCTTAAACTGATACCATACATTTTCAGTGTTTTATAGAAAAATGAAATTTACTCTGAAAAGTCTTTCACAAAATGTTTTTTTTTTCCCTGTGTCTATTTTCCCAGTGTATCTTAGCACACAACACTGGCAGACTCATTCTTTTTTCTTTTTCTTTTTTTTATACACACAGAGAGAGAGTGCACAAGTTGGGGGGAGGGACAGAGCAAGAAGGAGAAGCTGACTCCCTGCCAAGCAGGGAGCTTGGACGTAGGGCTCGATTCCAGGACCCCGGGATCATGCCCCAAGCTGAAGGCAGACGCTTAACCAACTGAGCCACCCAGGTGCCCTAGACTCACTCTATTCTTTGCCCAATGACATCTTCCCTGTGCTATGGTTCAGGCTGAGTTATGTGAAACATATAGCGCCTTAGACACCAGGTGCCTTGAATCCTCTGCACCCCTACAAGTGTCTGGTACAATTTCTTTCATGAAATGATAATCAATAAATACTGATGAATTGATTGGTTGAAATGTACTACCTTATGCTGCTAATTCCATATACTGTAGGGCAGGTACACAGAAATGTAGAGTGTACCCATTATAACAAGGGAAGCTTAGAACCCTTCTGCACCAAAATTATAGTTTTTCTATACCATAATGATATGAGGTTTATAATTATGCTTTTTTCTCTGCAGAACAGAATAAGCCAACAGGATTGTTTCCATTGGTAAGCCTGTTCTTCATATGCATGGCCTCAACCTACTGATGCTTCTGCAATTCTAGCATCATCTTGTGATCCAGGATCAACACCCATGGAAGTCTGAACGATGAAAAGAATATAGTTGCCTCTTTGATAACAGCATGGATAACTAAACATTAAAAGTTGTGAAATGATTTTTAAAGGTAAGAAATGATTAAAAGGCATTTTGAAAATCAGCAAAGGAAATGGAACAGCCTCTAAGAAATGTTGCACTGAATTATTGACAGAAAAAGAGGAGAGCTTAAAAAAATTAAACAAGCCCCTTACTGTAATATTTTCAAAAGGAGGATGAAGGACGAATACCATGTGGATATCTCCTAGGAGAGGCATGAAATAATGAAAGAAATCAGAATCATGCCAGAACAAGCAATAATTCAATCCAGAGACCCGGAAATGGGCAGAGCCCCAGGGCAGGCCAAGCACTCCTGGTATTAACAAGAGATGTGGAGTGGGCCAGGGCCAGGCAGTCTTCACCGAAGTGTGACTGCTGGGACCAAAGAGGACACCTGCAAGGTACTGATTAAGTATCTACAGTATGAAAACTAGTAGATAACACAGCATGAATCAGGTGACATCATCTGTTGTAAGTCTTAAGTAATTGAATTAAATTAACAGGAACCTGGATAAAATCTACAAAGAACAAATAATTCAAAAAAGGTATACTGTGTCATCATTTCATTCCATTGGAATACTGACACATAATTTTATGTAAGACTTAACCGCTTCAGTAGAAATACTAGACAAGAAATAAACAAATGAGCAGATGAAAAGAAATCTTCCAAGTTTTCCAGAAATGGGGTGTCCTCAAACTGCCAGAACCCCACCATGAGCCAGTCACTGGCCTCTTTCCATCTCTCCTAACAAATCTGTACCCATTTTCTCTTCTTTGGAGTCTTGGAGGGAACCAGTGAGAAAAAAGACCCTGCCAAGGTCTTCCCTTGGAAACAAGGTGCCTGTAAGATGTGTCAAATCCCCTTTGGGAACCAGGACCGGTTATGGCAACCGAACAACTCTGCCACAGACCTCAGTGCTCATAGATGCCACACAAAATGTCCATAACCCTCATTAATTAAAAATGTTGGCATTTATTAGACAATATCAGTTAACACAGGAAGTCATTTTAACATGGTTAAAACACATAGCAGTGAGTTTTTATGAGTAGCTCTGTAGTTTGCTTTCCTAAAATTATTTTATACTAAATGCTTTTAAAGGCCCACATGTAGAGAGATCAATTTCTTTTGAACTATATAGGTTCCTAACAGACCTGCTTATTCTCAGCTTTTAACTTCCCACTGAACACCTCCAGGGTTATGCTCCTTGAAGAGTTCCACGCTAAGCACACAGCTGAATACTCCTTAGCTGGCTACCAGCACCACAAAAGCCAGAGGGAAGTAGTGCTGTGTCCATCCCCTCACATTTATTAGTGACTAGTGTGCTAGACATGGGTCATGTGTTGGAGGATTCTACAGTGAAAGAGATGATGTTCCCGGCACATGGTCTAGAGGAGGAGATGAGTAATTAAGGGCCATCCCCAAATGCCATGCATGAGTGGTCCTGCCCAGTATACATGGGACAAGGAGCCTACAGATTGGTCAGTTATCCCAGTTTTTAGCCATTTGGAGAGGGCTTCCTGAGCAGAGACATGCGGGATGAGGAGCTGGCTAGGAAAGGGGAGGAGTGTTCCCAGAGAGAGAACAAACACACAAAGGGATGGTGGGGTTGAGGAGAGAGGCGCCATGGAGGCACCCAGGAACTGGATGACACAGGAGCTGAGTGAGGTGTGAGGAGGCACTGAAAGTACCAACATGGGAATGACGGGTTCAGATGTCTCCATTCATGGCACAGAGAGTGGACAAGAGTGGAGGCTGCAGAAGTGCAGACAGGTCATCGGGGTGAGCTGGTGTGTGCAAGAGCAATGGGATGGAGCCTCCAGGAATGAATGGAGGGTTCACCAGCAGAGGACCAGACAGGCCTCCACAGCTCCTCCATGATGACGTGCGTGCAGGATGAGGAGCAGGCTGGAGGGAGGGGGTCTGCGTGGTCTATGGACTTTAGGGGTCTATGGGATATCTGAGTAGAGATGCTCAGCCGGCAGTGGGGTAGAGGTGTCTCATGTTCGCAACAGGGCTGGAGGCAAACATCTGGGAGTTGCTGGGGTATGTGCATACGTGGCACATAATGTCATGGGAATGGGTGAGATCTGCAGGGACGCACAGTGAGGAAGAAAAGATGAGACGAGACAAGAAGTTGGCACAGGAAGGAATTGGAGGAATGTACTAGGTGTGATGAGCAGAGGGAGAGGTCTGAAAAGTAGCTACAGAAGCAGCACGTGGAGGCAGAAATCGGGGAGGTTCTGGGTTTACAGAAGGAAAGGGGAGAGAAAGAAGCCAGTCAAGGTGGGCACTGGAAGGTCAAGTACATGGACGCTAGGGAGCAACCTTTGGCTTTAACCACTAGGCGGCCTCTGGTGATTCCGGTGGGAGTGGAGGTCACAGAAGCAAGACCAAGGTGCGCCAAGAAGGGCTGGGGAAGCAAGGCTAGAGGAAGGAGGGCCACCAAGAGGGTTCAGAAAGTCTGGAGGAAGGGAGAGTAAGAGATGAGGAGGTAGCTGGAGGAAGAGCTGGGCTAGTCAGGTTTTCAGTTTTAAAGGTGTAAGTCTTGAATGCTAAAATGCTTTGGGAGAAGGAACTGAGAGAATGGTAAAAGGTGAAGGCCCTGGAAGGAAAAGTCTAAGGCACAGACCAGGCCACCGTGCAAGGCAGGGGCTTAGCCATACAGGAGGTCTGATATTGTCACACTAAGGAGGGAGGGCTGACCCGGGGAAACAAAGGCATTGGGGGCACTAATTTTAAAGAAGAAAAGAATTTTAAAAGAAATTTATTGTTCAGAATTGGCAATTCATACTTAAAACGAGGAAGGACAGGTGATAATCCCATAGTGTTCTCATTTTTCTTTTACAGACCTAATCTTAAACCATCACTAAGTACCCTTTCCTCAAAACAGATCCTCATAATCTTTGACAGAAAAAAAAAGTGCCTTAAAGAGCAAAACAAAAAATACCAACTTTATTAACTAGATCAGAAGAAAATATATCAACATCTTGGCAATGGTTGGCAATACAGGCAAACTTTTTATCTTTAGTCTCTAACAAACATGCATTACTTTTTTTTCCTTCCCCACATTTTATTTTTTTTAAGTTTTCACTTTAATTCCAGTGTAGTATTAGTTTCAAGAGTACAATATAGTGATCCATCACTTCCGTACATCATCTGGTGCTCATCACAAGTGCCTCCTTAATCCCCAGCCCTTGTTTCACCCATCCCCCCACCCACCTCCCTTCTGGTAACTCTCAGTTTGTTCTCTATGGTTAAAGAGTCTGTTTCTTGGTTTGTCTTTCCTTTTTACCCCCTTTGCTCATTTGTTTTGTTTCTTAAATTCCACACGAGTGAGATCATATGTTATTTGTCTTTCTCTGACTTATTTTGCTTAGCATAAAACCCTTTAGCTTCATCCATGTTGTTGCTAATGGCAAGACTTCATTCTTTTTTATGGCTGAATAATGTTCCATTGTATATATACCACATCTTCTTATCCATTCATCAATCAATGGACACTTGGGCTGCTTCCATATCTTGGCTATTGTAAATAATGCTGCTATAAACATAGGGGTGCATGTTGTGTGTTACTTTTATAAGGGAAAAAAACCCCACTTGAACGAAAAAGAATGCATGGGTTCCTCACAGCCGAGGAAGGTCACTGAGAAGACATGACCACTAGTAGACCCGTGAGCTGGACCTAGGTGACTGGAGGCTGCTCACTTCCTCCCCTGTCCTCGGAATGTGGGAAGAGGCTTGCCTTTCCTGCTCCCAGAAGCTGCTACAAGGACATTGCCTTAAGATAGTGAGGTGGTGTTGAGAACACCTGCACCGTATAGTTGACTAAACCCGGTGAAGGCCTCTGTTTATAAAAGTTTATAAAAACTTTTAAGATGCGGCGGGCAGGTGCAGGGATCCACTCTTCTTGCTG